ATAAATGTTAAATTCTTAAGAATATGTCTTGCATGCGAACTTTACTGTCATGCTTCAGAACTTTTAAGACTGTTATATATATATATGTATATCGCGTGAGAGATTTTATAAAGGAATTGTACAGAATAGGTTTTTAAGGCGCAATACAACTAGCAACTGCCCATTTTACCATTGTATTTACTGCTTACATCTAGGGCTATCGAAAAAGCTCGTTGTTTAGGAACAATTTGTGTTCGATTCGTTAATGAGTTCGTGTTCGATTCGTTCGATAAGTAAACGAGACGAACTTGAATAAATTTGTTTCGTTCGGTTAGTTAAACGAACCAAAGGCGAACAGTGATGCGTTCGTTCGTGTTTGAATCGTCATTGTTCGAAATATAAAATAATTTAAAATAATTATATATATATAATTTATGATATTTTAAAAAATTAAATTTTATATATTATAATATATAATAACTTATAAATAATATATTAATATACTATGTTAGTAATATACTAAAATAAATATTATATATTTATATAATATAAGTTATATAAATAATATAATATTTTATTTATGTATATTAATATTAGGGATGTGAAACTGGCTCGTCATTCGTGAACAGCTCGTGTTCAACTCGTGTTCGGCTCGTTCGTTAAGAAATGAACACGAACAGTAACTTCACGAACAATCTAAAACACGAGCTTATTTCAAACAAACTACAAACACGAACACAGGCTATGTTTGTTCGTGTTCGGTTCGTTTACACCCCTATTTACATTAAAAATGATAAGATTTACATAAATATTATTCAATTTTTATATATTTATATCTCTAATATGTAAACTTTGATTTTTACATGTGTTACCATATTTATGCATAAAAAAGGTGTATTTTATTTTTTAAATGTTAAAATAATAATTTTTTTTTTTATGTGATATGGAATATTCGAATGATATAATTGTAAAAAGTAAAGTTTAGGTGTTAGATATATAAATGCATAGGAATTGGGTGATATGTATTAAATTTGCTTAAATATTTTTTAAATAAATATTTATTTAAAATTAATAATTAATGTGCTGTAATTTTTTTTATATAAAATACAAAGTGTAGTATTTTAAAATTATTTATTATTTAGCTTATATTACTTATATTTATTGCATGAGAAAGACAATTTGGAAGTATAGCATTTATAAAAATATAAATGTACATTAATGATGCCCAATTCATAGTTGTTAATGAGAATTCTTACAATGGATATAATTTTTTATTGAACACTACAATGGTGGTCATAAAAATGGAGATCCTTCTTAAAGAATGTGTATCTTAGTTGTTAGAAAGTTTAGTTTCTCCTCATCATGAGGTCATGCAATCTTTTATGATTTATCATTCATCATCTCTAAATAATGGATATATATATATATATATATGGTAGAAATAAAATTTACATTGCATATAGGGAGATTTATTCACTACATGTGACCCTTAATAACTTCATGGGTTATTTACATATATAGCACCAAAGTCCTATTTACTTTCATGTCTAACACCAAAACTTCACTTTTTTAATTTATACCACCTAGGCCTTTTGCTCAGTCCTAAATTGTCCTTAAAAATATTGCCCCGAGTGCTAGAGATGAGGGGAGAGAAGTGAGAGTGAGAGAGAGAGAGAGAGAGAGAGATCAGGAGTGTCAGGGAATCCTTGGATCTTAGAACCCGCAAATGTCAAGATCCAAAAGTGAACAAACAAAAAGGGCCCCTTTCTTGGTGTCGTGATCTCCTATTTATAGAAGTCCTTGAAAATAGTTGCAAATAAGGAAAGAATAGTTACTATAATTGTCTGAGTAATTGAATCAAGGTTACATAGTAATGAAAAAAAAGCTAAAGTTGGATTATTCGTCCAAAGCCTTGAGGACGGCCAAGTATGTCAATCGACCATTGGATGTGTCGGTTTGTTATGACAATCGACCGCGCCTTCTTATATGAACTAGGTTTGCTCAAACTAGACCTGGGCATTCGATCGAAGCTTTTTCATCATTAGTTATGTCGCTCAGAGGATTCCGCCAGATTTATAGAAATTAGTCGATCGACTATACAGCATAATTGACTGATCGATAATTGAATTTATAATTTTCATATGGATCAATCAATAAAATCGGTCGATTGTGAAAGAACTTAAATTTTATCTAATTGACTATTATACACTTATTGGTTGATCTACACCAACCCATACCCCCATCACGTCTGATCGATTGGATCTTTGCCTTGGTCAGGTTTACTGTACACACTAAGCACAGATCTTGTCGTTGCCTTTAAAGGCAACCTTCAGGACTCGTTTCAGGAATGATTTAGACTAACGTACTCTTTTGATGATCTTGTCACTAGCAAGCAGACAACCATCTCCAAAAACTTTATCCTCCCTATCTTAGAGATTCAATCTCATAACTCAAAGGCAATGTAAAAGATCTCAATTGGCCTATCGTAGTAAATCATTTTGTGATTCATACATTTTCAATCAATCAATTCGAGTTCCTCAAGTATTGAAAAACGGTCATCGAACCTCATTTTTTTTCTCATGACCAAAAAAAAGTGGGCTAGCTTTAAAAATTACTTTGATTGTGCTCTAATTTTTGTCTTTCCATTTTAGGAAACTGGTTGTTCAGTTATCCTATCATATTGTGTAGAAATCTTTTCAAGGCATCAATCCCTCTTATCATTGTGGTCTCTCATCAAAATTTTGTCAAATGAAACTTGTTGAAATCGATCACCCTCCCTCCTTATAAAAGGCGTGGGCGACGTGGGGAGGGGGGTGCCTCTGGTGATTGTGCACATATCTAAGATAAATTAACGGGTTAGTTATAGAATTTAAGAATCCTGTCGACCGTGTGGAGCCGAAGGTGCGGTCGAGTTCTCCTTCGACAGGAATGATAGGTCTTTTGAGGGCCAAGTACTAACTTTACTTTTTATTCGAGTCTAGTGTTGAATAAGGGGTCTTTCTCCAAGGTGGGTTTCCAACGCTGCATCAGACAAGATGGAACCTATGAAAAATTCTCTCCACGAACGGATGCGGTGAGCCCTGGGGAAAGGTATATATTGTAAGAATCCTGTCGACCGTGTAGACCCGGAGGTGAAGTTGATTTCTCCTTCGATAGGAGTGATAGGTCCTGTGAGTGTCGTGCTAACTCTACTTTTTCTTCGAATCTAGTGTCGAATAAGGGGTATTTCTCTAAAGTGGGTTTCCAACGCGACATCCGACAAGATGGTACCTATGAAAAATTCTCTCCATGAATGAATGCGGTGAGCCCTATGGAAAGGTTGTGTTGAGCACACGCGAACACAATACATCCATTTAACGATCAATGTCAAAGTGGGATCGCCTCATCCCCGCAAGTGGCGAAAGAGTGGGACTTTGAAACCTTCTGGCAATGGTATCCTTCTTTTTCCACGCTCTCTTTTTCCCAGTGTTCGGAGGAAAATATGAAATGTGATGCAAGAAAACTTATCCTTGGATGTCTCCGTCCATCAATTCTTTATTGAACTCCATTTTTCTTCCACCCCTTTGTTGTATTTATCCTTAGTAATTCGCACTGGTTCTCGTCTGAGGCATTCCACGCTCACCACATCACCTTTTAGGATGTTAAATCCTAAATTATCCTTGAGAACATGCCCCAAGAGTTAGAGCTGAGAGGACAGAAATGAGAGAGAGAGAGCTCTGGAGCATCAGGAAATCCTCAGATATCATAACTCACAAGTGTGGGGATCCAAATGTGAACGAATAAAAAAAGGGTCCCTTTATTGGTGTCATGACCTATTTATAGGAGTCATTGAATACAATTGCACGTAAGAAAAAAACAATTATTATAACTGTCTGAATAATTGAATCAAGATTACAAAGTATTGAAAATAAAATTTGGGGTTTGGTCAGTCGCCCAAAGCCATGGGGTCTGCCGAGTATGTCAATCAACTGCTAGACGTATATGTCAGTTGGTTTTGACGGTCCACCACGCTTTCTTATAAAGACCAGCTTTTCACATCCCGGATGCGGTCATTCGACCTAGGCTTTTTTATCATTAATTTTGTCGCTGGAAGGATTCTATCGTACGGTAGACTCTGCTGAACAGGAGACTATTTCAATCGTTTGAGCAGTAAAGCCAATCAACTAATTGTTGGAGCATTTCTAATCCTGTTCTAAAATTTTATTTGTACAACAATGTTTCTGGCCGTTCGATCTCCTCGAAATTCATGCTGTCATTTTAGTGGTATATACCCTTCATAACACATCAAAAACAATACTATAATTATTGCCACCTGAAAATATCACTGCATAAATGACAACCCAACAAACACAATTTTTAGTAGATATTGGCACGATAGAAGCCCAGCTATTACTATTGCCAATTCTCACCCATACTTGTTAGATAATCAACTATTCGACGCTCCTAAATAAGCCTGAACGACATCTGTAAATAGGTCCTCATACCAATCATCTAATTTGGTAATGCATATTCTTGGACCGGTAAACGCCTTGACGCAATACTACTAGCATATAAATTAAAAAGTTAAATTTACATACATACCACAAGATTATGAATTTATATATCTAATACAAAGTTTGAAATTTACACTAATAACAATTAGGTGTCATGAACTAGAAAAAAATATTACATCAGGACTCCGCACGTAGAGTTACGTTCGAGTCCAATGAAATCACAGCACGCGTGAAGGCTCGATAACACGAGAATATTCTCCCGTGTTATTTAGGTGTTATTGTATATTATTTAAGTGTTATTGTATTCTGAAAATATTCCCAGTGTTATAATAATACAATAACACATCAATAACACTTGAATAACACACAATAACACTGAATAACACGGGAGAAATATTCTTTTGTGTAACAGGCCGATTTTTTTTTTTTCCTCACATTCACGTGTATGGCGTGATTTCATTGGACTCTGCACGTAACTCTACGTGTGGAGTGCGGAGTACTGATGTAATATTTTTTCCATGAACTAATGCATGAAAAAGATGAGTTCACTTTTAAATAGTTAGTCATCGTGGACTTATTTTTATGTGGTGTGAAAATTCTGAATCTTATACATGTGATTATAAAATTTAGGAGCGCTAAATATGTAAATACATAAGAATTGCATGATATATAGGAAAATGTTCATATTTAGCATATTTAGCATGAGAACTTTTGATTGAATATAATGTGCAACTGGCATAACCATCTTAATCAACATTTGTCAGCTTCTCTTCGTCTACCTCAAAAGCCTTCCTTGCCTGCTTGAGCTCCTCATTCATGGACAAAAGCTCGGTGCATCGATGAAGTTTTGGCAAATCCTGTTTGTTCCAAAAGACAATCAAGGCAGAAAAATAGTGAAAAGTTATCACCAGATATAGATATATATATATATATATATATAGCCAGAATTCAATATATAGGGAAGATTGACATACATACCACTTAATTCCTATGCATTTACATATCTAACACCAATGCTTTACTTTTTGCATGCATGCCAACTTACCTATGCATGCAGAGATTTGTTCCACTTTTTGTAAGTAAAAAATAGTGGTATTTTTTTGTGTGATATCAAAGATTTGGGTGGTATAAATGTTAAAAGCAAAATTTAGGTGTTAGATATGGAAATTCATAAGAATTGAGGGGTATGTATGTATACGCCGCGGTAGAAAATGACATGGAGCACAGGGTATTAAGGAGCAGGGTTTAGAAAGAAAAATTATCTAAAAAGAAATATAACACAGTATACCTTCCGAATTAGATAGAGAAAGTCCTCCGTTAGCAGCTTTCCCCTCTTGGATGCGATGTCTTGGGCTTTATGCACCTGGAAGTTCCATTCAACTGAAATGGTTAGAAAAATGCAAAGAATCAAGTTTTGCTCAACATAGGCAACTATAGCAAATTAAAATGACACAAAAGGATATTATTTTATCATAAATAGCTTTATTCCAGCCATATAATCAACATTACTGAACCTCGTTCAATTCATTCCAGCCAAACACTAAGCTCCGTTTGGCTTGAAGTGAGAAATTAAGCAAAAAGCTTTTGTTCCACGTTTAGTTGACGAAGAATTTAGTTTTTATTTGTTGGGAAGAGGGAAATGTGAGTCACTTGAATGACTACCTAATTTCTTCCAAATTTCATCAGCATTGGGTGGGACATTGCTAATGAAAAAACAATGAATTTGTTAGCATTCCCGTGTGAATCTAATTAGAGAACCAAGAAGGTAAGAAAATCGAGAGAGAAAGCACCATATCATGACATGTGGTAGGCATGCAATGAAACGGCTTCTCCTTGAAATTTTCAACAAGCTCTTGACAAATGTAACACTAGGTTGCGATGCAGAAGCACAAATATGCACTTACAAATACAAGGTTAAGAATGAAAATCACTTCACCAATGATTCTTCAGTTCCAAATTTAAGCAAATAAGATTATGAATCTAGCATGAATTACAACAGACAAGCTGAAGCACCCAAAGGGTAGCAAATTGGTCATGAGTAATTGACTTGTCGATGACTGCGGGAATAACTTGGGAAATCTGCACAAAGAGTCCTTGTGTTGATTCCACTTACTTCCTTGTAAGCCTTTCTCTAAGGTATGCGCGCTCACAGACAAGAGTCCTCCTGGGATGAAAATAAGACAAAGTTGCCGAAATTTAAAATCTTTTTATTCAATAAGCATTACATAATGTCATGATAAATGAAAAAAAAGATGTTCATATATATGCTAGAGTAAGGTTTTGTCCATGTGGTGTAGAGAAGGTATGGAATGGGGAAGGAATGTGATGCGGGTTTTGAAAAGACTAACCATGCTTCGAAAGCATGAGGTTTGTTTCAAGTGGAGGAAATATAGGTGTTAACCCAAACGGTAATAAGCAAGTAAATATTATTACTAGAAAAATCAATAGGCACTTACAACCAAAATACTGAAAGGAGAAATAGTAACACGCACGACACATAAAACGCAACTAGGTTGAATCGAAGGTGGAGGTGGTGGCCATTAGGGGCTTGGAAAAGTGGTGGCAAGATTGGAAAGTGGAGCAAAGGGGAGGATGTTGCGGGGGAATGGCAGGTGTTTGCGGTCCTGGGTAGGAACAAGTAGGTAGAATAGCCAGGCAATGGTAAAACAACATGGTGAAGGAGTTTCTAGGCGACGGCAGCGATGTAGGATTGTCGAACAGCAGTAAAACATCAAGGCAGGGGATTTTTGGGTGGTAGCAGTTGTACCGGATGGCTGGACAATAGCCAAAGCAGTGACGCGAGGGATGCAATAGTGGCGACAGTGAAGGTGAAGGAGTGGAACTGCGATGGCAACGAAGAAGAATAGTAGAGATGGGAAGGCGATGGTGACGGCTGGAACTGCAGAAAATAGGAACCGGACAGCTGTTCGGGCAGCTGCAGCACGGAGGATGATGGTGGATTGCAGGACAGAAAAAGTATGGCTGTCTGGGATGGCGGCAGCAAAGAAAAGTGGGAGACTGTAGTGAAAAACAATGGTATGTTTGGGCAGCTGCAGCAGGGAAAGGACAAGCAGGAGAGATGTGAGGAGGATGTGAAAGGGAAATAGGGAAGATAATCACCTCCTCAGGAGCGAGATATAGCTGAAGCACAACCCGAACCCTTGAATAAATCCCTCAAATAGAAAAAGAGACGTCGGCATCTGTCCCGATACAAAACACTTAGAAAAGTCAAAACCTAAAATATATGAAGCAAATATATATGCCCTAAATAATTAGGTTCCATTGGTGAAAGAAGGTGACAAACCTAAGATGAGTAATTGATCGGCTCTCCTCTGCCTAGACCGGCAGGTCCAGTCGCTAGAGTCATGGGAAGTCCCAACGTGCGTCCCACGTCAAAAGTGGGAAACACTCCCATGACAGCCCGGGGTTGAGGAAGCTTCGACCTCATATATAGAAGCTTCTATTTTCTTGTAGTATGGCGTCAGTTGTCCAATTAAAAGTGGTAAACAAGTAGCAATCTCCCGATAAGTCAATTACGTTGATGTTTTCATTCCAAATCACAACCTAATAAAAGGTATCCTCATGAACCAAGCTTCAAGCCACCAAAACTATAACTGGCTTCTTCCACTCCTCGTATTCGTCTGTGTGTATCTGATAAAAATGTACATAAGGAGAAATAAACTTTAGGACAAAATCTATGGCATGCTAGGCAACTCTCAATAGCAACCACTCAGAAGAGGCCTCTTCTTCTCTGGTGGGACCTAGATGTCATAAAGGATGTTCTTTTTTTAAAAAAATCTAAAGCGATTTCCAATAATGTGGTTTTTCCATCATGTTTGATCATTTATCAGTAGATACACTGCTAAATTGATTTTACTATCTAAATGACTCCATATATGCTTAAAGAAGTGACGCAAAAGAATCTCATACCTGACATGTTAAACATCCTTCAGCAGAAGCAACTCAGGTAAACTATATATTTAAAAAGTTTGAAATTCCTCATCTAGAGTTGTTATGTGTCTGGTATCGATTCCTCTGACTTAAAACCGTATTCGACCACTAATGCTAATTCTAGAAGAGTCTCTCTCATAAGTTTTGAAATTCCTTCTTTAGGGTTGCCATGTCTCTGGTATTGATTCCTCGGATTTAAGACCATCTTCGACCACCAATGTTAATTATGTTGGAGTATCTCTCATAGGTTATGCTTGAAATTCGTGTTTTCTCCATCATTAGTTGGAATTTGGTATTTCTGTGTGTCCTCACTTTCTTAAGTATCTACAATGTTATTACCCATTTCTTCAATAGCTCATTGCTCAGTGAAATAGACCTTATCCTTGTTTGGAAAATCTGCTGCACTGCGCCCAAAACCGCGGAACTTAACACTTTCTAGCTGGGACAAATTTAGGAGCATTGGTTAGCTTCACATGTTCTCCAATCTGAATCAGTATTCCCTCAGGTGGGGGCTTAGATGTTCCTCTGAGCGTCCCTTGCTACTTAACCTTAGGTTGAACTATATTTGTAAGGTGTGGCGGTCATCCGGTGATGTTGTCTCCCACTTTTAATACTAAGGTTTGAAAATCCGATGGGTAATGAACTAGTAGTTAATAGCGTCACATCTCCCATTTCATCTTGGGCAATATGGTAATCTCATCTTTTCCCTCCTGCTAGTTCGAATGCTTCATTTTTTTTCACCAAAAAAATTTGTTGTTCATTAACTTACTGGAAACTAGCTTTACCCTTATATATGATGGGACATCCTGGTACTCAAAGAAAAGTTTCATTGTTTGGAGCCACGCGATTAAATCGTCCAGATCCAAGTGACCGTCAAAATATGAAAAATCGAAATTTCTCTGATATTTTAGGCTAAATCTTAGGAAAAGAGTTTCTCTATCCCTGAAATCCGCATGGCAAAAGAGATTCACTCCAATCCTTTGATCTAGCATGTCACTGTTATGGCTATGATGACCCATTCAAACTCTCTCCTTGAAGATGGTAAGCATCTTTTATGGTTGGAGGACTTCCATAAAAAGTTTCTAGATATTGTTTTACATATTTCTTATAAAAGGCATTATAGCATTTCTTCTCGATCATGTCTCTGATAATTGTCTCTACGGTTTGTGGTTGAGTTTTGGGTTTGGGTAGTTGAAAGAGGGTGTATAGGGATGATGTTGGGTGGGAAAGATTTTTTTTTTCGGCCGTTTTGAAAAACTAGCAAGGGGAAGGATTTTTGTGTGGATGTGGGGACTGGATATTAGTGGATGCTAGAAAATCTAGAATAGAACTAGAATTAAGCTAGCCCTGATAACAAATGATACTAGAGTTAAAGCCAAATGACAATAAGTAGTCAAATATTATTATTGGAAAAACCAATAGATAGTTACAACCAACACATTGAAATGAGAAATAATAACACACATATTGTAAACGAACTGAGTTTAAGCAAGTATAAGGGTAATTCATGTTTGGTTCAATAAAATTTTCTTTTGTTCGTGTTTGTCTCATGTTCGAAATAGCACGAAATTAACATGTTCGTGTTTGGCTAGCTTTCATTCTAATTGGCTCATGTTCGGCTTGAAATAAATTCGAGCGGCTTGTCTAGTAATTTGAAGTTAAGCAAATCTCAACATCTCAAAGAGGGAGGAATGAGAAAAAAAAATTATCAAACTTCCGATGTGGGACAAACTCTACGCAGGAGGGAAAGCACAATGTGCAACAAAAGGAGTGAGCAGACAGAGATGTACTTTTTTTAACTTGCTAGGAGCATTTTCATACATATCACCAACTCTTATGTATTTACATATCTAGCCCCTAAACATAACTCTACTTTAGGCCCATTTACATACATAGCACCCAAATCCTAATTATTTACATATCAAATACCTAAACTTATATTTTATATAATTATACCACCCAAATAAAATTTAAAATTAATAAAATTTAACATTTTTTTAAATACATATAAAAATTTAATATAGCAAAATATAAATAAATATTATTATTAAATTATTTAATTATTTCGAGCTGAATAGGAACGAACAAACTTTTGTTTGTGTTTGGCTCGTTTATAAATCGAGCTTACAAAAGTTGTTTTTGTTCGACTCGCTTGCTTAGCGAACAAATCGAACACAAACTATTTAATAAGTCAAACACGAGCTGTTCGGGAACGAGCTTTTTTGACAGCCCTACACACAACACAAAAGACGTGAATAAAGTGAATCAAAGGCACTGGTGGTGGTTGTTAGGGACTTGGAAAAGTAGGGGCATGGTCGGGAAATAGAGTTGAGGATGAATGCAACAGGGGAACAGCTGATGCCTGTTGTCCTGGGCAGCAGTAAGTAGGCGTAATGGTTGTGCAATGGTAAA